TGTTTTTTTTTTTTTTTTTTTTTTTTTTCGGTACTGGGGATTGAACTGGGGTCCTTCCTTGTGCTTTGGAAGCATGTGGTGGAATCACTGAGCTAAATCTCTGGCCCTGGGCTTCAGATTTTTTAATCGGGCATGCTTAGACTTTTTTGGTTCCAGATCAGCATAGTAGTGACTGTTGGTTCTCACCTGTGCTCAGGGCCTCCTGGGTAAAAATGATGAAAATCAGTCCTGCTGGGCATGGTGACACATCACTATTATCACAGCATTCAGGAGGCTGAGGCAGGAGGATCACCACAAGTTCAAAGCCAGCCTGAACTGCATAGTGAGACCCTATCTCAAAAAACCAGAATAAATAAATCACGGGCCGGGGATTTAACTCATTGGTTCTACCGCCTGCCTTGCAAGCACAAGGACCCAAGTTTGATCCCCGGTACCAAAATCAATCAATCAATCAATCAGTCCAGACTTCCCAAATGCATTGCCCAGTTTGGTGGTACTGTGGTGTGTTCATATTAGATCTTTATGTAGCTTTGGCTGTAGGGTGGATAATTTAATCTCGACTACTTAATTTAACCATAAATCACTAAGCTTGAGCACTCTTCTAATTTTGATATCTAAGTAACTATTTCATTGTGTTTTATTCTTGCAGTATTACTGGGATCGGGACCCAGGGCCTGGTACACGCTAGACAAGTGCTGTACCGCGGAATACACCCTTAGCCCCTTTTTCTGAATGACTCCATTTCTTTTTTCCTAGCACTTTTTTTTTTATTGGTTGTAGAGATTAATGGGTTTCGTTTTGGCAGATTCATTCATGCATATAACACTTCAGTCACTCCTCCATCACCTCTCACCTTCCTCCTAGGTCTACTGCTTTTGGGAGGGGTCAGTGTAGATACAATATTTTGCTCATATAGATCCCCCCATTACTGACCCTTACAGCCTCTTATTCTCTCTCTCTCCCTTTTTTTTTTCTTTCTTAACTTTTTCATTAACTTTTTGAGACAGGGTCTCTATGTAGTTCAGGCTGTTCTTTAAGTTACTATGTAGCCTAGTCTTCCTCTGAACTCCAGGGGATCCTACTGTCTCAGCCTCCTGGAGTACTGGAATTACAGGCACGCGCCACCTTGTCTGGTGTTTTTGTTTGTGGTTTTCTTTTGTTTTTTTACTGGGGATTGAACTCGGGACCTTGTATTTGCAAGGCAGGTGGCGGCACTGAGCTAAATCCCTGGCCCTGTTTGTGTTTGGTTTTGATTTTTGTTTTTTTGAGACAAAGGTCTTGTGATGTAGTCTGGGCTGCTCTTGAACTCACTACATAGCCCAGGCTGGGCTCCAATTTGCAGTTATCCTCCTGCCTCAGCCTCTCAAGGGCTGGGGGATTACAGGCGTGTGGTACCACATCCATCTTGTTTTCTGTATTCTTTCTCTCTTTTTGGTTTTTTTGAGACAAGGTCTCACTGTGTAGTTGAGACTGGCCTGGAACTCACTATGTAGCCCAGGTTGGTCTCAAACTCACTGTGATCCTCCTGCCTCAGCCTCCCAAGTGCTGGGATTACAGGCGTGTGCCACCACACCCCGGCTGTTGGTTCTTGCTGTATAGAAACTTTATTTTGATGCAGTCTTGTTTGTCAATTCTTGTTATTTGCTATTTCCTGTGGTTAGAGCCCTTTTCAGCAAGTCTGCCTGTGCCTATGACTTTTCAAGTGTTTCCTTTATGTTTTCTTTTAGTAGTTACAAAGTTTCAAGACTTCTACCTCTTCTTTAATCCATTTTGAAGTTGATTTTTTTTAGTTTGTTTCTGTATCTTCTGCTCCCTTCCATTGGTTCCATTGGTCTCCGTTTTTGTTTTTGTGTCAGTTACTGTGGTTCTGTAGTATAATTTGAAATTGAGTGTTAAGATACCTCCAGCCTTGCTCCTCTTTAAGTGTGTGTCTTGTAACTGGGGATTGAACCCAGGGCCTCTGCACTGCGCTATCTCTCAAGCCATTTCATTCATTCATTCATTCATTCATTCATTCACGGGACAGGGTCTCTCTAGTTCAGGCTGGCTTTCAACTCAGGGCCAGTCCTCCTGAATGCTGGGATTACAGGCATGGGCCACCACAACTGGGCGGGTTCAAGGCATTTATTTATGTGGTTGGTTGGTTGGTTGGTTTTTTGAGACAGTATCTCATTATGTAACCCAGGCTGGCCTTAAACAATCCTCCTGCCTCAGCCTCTGAAGTGCTGGGATTCCAGGCATGCACCCTTGATTTTTTGTTTAGGATTGCTTTAGCTATTCTGGGTCTTGTTTCTATATGTATTTTGGGGTTGCCTTTTTCTAGTACTGTGAAGAACATTGTTGGTATTTTGAAGGGGGTTATGTTCAATCTTTCTTCGGCGTTCTCATGTTTTTTGTCTGTTTGTTTTGTTTGTTTTTTGATGGTCTCATATTTTCATTGTTGACTTCTTTCATCACTTTGGATAGATTGATCATTAGGTGTTTTTTCTTATATTGTGGACAGAATTGTTTTCCCGATATCTTTCTCAACTAGTTAATTATTGGTGTGTAGTAAAGCTATTTATTTTATTTATTAATTTTATTTAAAGAAAGGAAAGGTTTATTTAGCTCAGTTGTAGAGGATTCAGTCCATAATCAGCTGGCTCTAAGGCAGGGTGGCACGGCAGACAGGCATCACAGAGGAAAACAGTTCGTGTCAGGCAGAAGGTAGCAAAGCAAACAAGCAAGAAGCTACAAGTAACTAGAAGTGAGCCTCTCTCTGTCCCTTATTTTGAATCCAGGCCGCCCTCCCTTAGGGCAGAGTACGCGCACGGTAATCTTAGTGTTGCGCAGGAACCAGTCGCACACTGTAGATCCAGCTACCTCTGAAAAAAGCTCCATGGATGATTGTGTGAGGCATTGGGGAGACATCGAAACACAAACCATTATTAGCAAGGCCATTCAAGACTTGGGGCAGGAGGGTGATTATTTCAGATGCACTGCAGAAGTAGACATTGGCATTAAAAGAATGGCACTCCCAAGTTGGCTGAAGTCATGCAGATTAAAAATCCACATACCTTGGGCTGGGTGGTGCTGCCACCTGCTTTGAAAGCATAAGGTCTAGAATTCTATCCCGAGTACCACCACCCCCCAAAAAAATCCACACACCTCCTGAGCCAGCAAATACCTTTGTAAATCTAGCTAAGGAAAGTGGCTGTAAATACGCATCAAAAATCATGAACAAAGCCAGGTGTGGTGGTGCACGCCTGTAATCCTAGCACTGGGAGGCTGAGGCAGGAGGATGCTGTGAGTTCGAGACCAGCCTGGAGACCAGCCTGGGCTACACAGTGAGTTCCAGGTCAGTCTCCACTACATAGTGAGACCCTGTCTCAAAAAACAAAACGAAACAAAAGGACGTTGTTTAAAGCTGTTGCTTTTCTGTCTTGTGAATGGCTCCATTTCTTGCCTCCCCTTTCCCCTTCTGAGGATTGTAGGCAAGAAGAAAAATTGCCTCCCACTTTATGTTCATAAACTGAATCAAGTATGGAACTCATTTGAGGGCAGAAGCAGGAGGATTGCAAGTTCTAGGCCAGCTTGGAAAACCTAAT